TTGATGTTTTGTTTGCTATAATAAAAAAAAAAAAAAAAGGATAATGGAAGAAAGATGGATTAAACACATACTGAAGCTCGGTTTTCTTGTTTTTTTAATGTTTATTTAAAAATTAAAAAAAAAGAGGAAGATAAAGATCGCTTCATTTACTAGATTGGGACATCAATGCCTGATTATATTCGGCTCTCTCTCTTTTTTTTTTACTTTTTAATTTTTTAAACTTTTGTCTCTTTGTTTCTTTTCTAAAAATTCGTTTTAACGAGAAATTTTACTTTTTAGCTATTGCTTATTGTTTCTTTTCTATAAACACCGTTTCAATGCGAAAAAATTCAAGATGCTTTTTTTTCCTTTAAATAAAATTAATATAATGGATAAAAATGCTAACATGTTCATTAACAATTCTATTTTAATTAAATTGTAATTAACTGGAAACAAATTAAACATTGTTATAATTATTAAATGACAACTCTTTCCATCCTCTCTGTGAAAGTGTATTTAAGTGAACAGCAGTAGGTAGAAACACTTAATGAATGATTGTGAAAGAAACGATATTTTCCTAATTAAAACAAGTATAATTGGCAAATTTTTAAACTCAAAACTCATGTCTAATTGAAAGAAAAGTGGATAAATACATTTTTATCTTGTTCTCTCATTTTGTAAAAAATAAATAAATAATAATAAAAAAAATAAATAAAACTAAAAATCTGATAATTAAATTAACATGTAAAGATTTTTCTAGTTTACACAATTACATATGATTAATAAATTAAAGTAGATTTATAATAAAAAACAAAGAAAAAGTGAATATAATTAGTGCTTACATTTTTTAAATGGTTTTAAATGATTACACGTGAATAGAAAACGATTTAATATAATTAAAAAAAAATTAAATAAACACGAGAATTAAAATTAGTTACTTAAATAAATCGAGTAAGAAGTAAAAACTATTTAAATATGTATTTAAATTAAACTCTTTTTCACGTAATTAAATACAAAAAGCTAAATAAAATAAATACAGTTAAACCTGTGTAAAACGACCACTGACTAATAAAAAATGGAATTGTTCGGAGGTGGCAGTCGTTTGCAGGTTATTTTGTATGCATTTTAATAAGAAACGTTCCTGAAAAAAAATGGCCGCCATTTAAAATGGTCGTTATTGGAGGTTCGACTGTATATAAGTTAAATTTAATACATATATAAAATTCGTAGAAAATAAGAGAAAAATTGTAATTAAAATACGTTTTTGAAATTAATAACGTAGCAATATTGGGTAAAAAAAGTAAGTAGAAATTAATTTAAAAAGTCATATTTTATTTATTTATTTATTTATTTCTAACTCTTTAATATATTCTAAGTCACAAGCGTTTTGAATGTAATTAAGGAAGCAGTTTAAATTTTAATTAAGAATTCACCCTGAGTGGCGCCGAGTACAACCAACCGAGATTTAATTCTCCAACCAAACTTATCACGTAATAATTCAAAAATTCGTATTGATCATCACTTCAAACGGAGGAACTGGTGCCATCTGGTTTCGATAAAAGCATACATTTTAATAAGAAATTAAATCTATTTTTAAAATAATAATAATAATAACAATAGCAGTTTATAATAATTCTGATATTATAATTATTTAGGGATAGACCCAATGTTTAAAACCAACTAGAAGTTGGTTTCTTTGTCGGTGTTGCCGATACTTTATTACAGTTAAAATTACAATGAGTCATATCCATTGTTTCGTTATCTTTGATTGGTTGGTTAGATGTTTCCGATTTAATTGTGTCATCGTTTGTTTCACTTAGACAGTTTGTATTGCTTTCAAAAACACATGGTTGTTCCGCCACTTCCATTTCAATCGCTACTTCCGGTTGCCTGTGAACTATCACGACTTTCTCTTTAGGGGAAGTATTTATTGATGATAAACTTTCTTTAGCTGTATTATCTTCTAATTCGGTTGAATTATATTCTTTAAATGAAGTTTTTTCAGTTAAAACTTCTGAATTTTCGTCCATTACCTCTCTTGAACTGTTATCTAACATTAATCTAGCTCTTCTAGCGATGCTAGCGAATCTTTTTAAAACTATCATCCTTCTTATTTGTGGATCTTCTTCTGACAAATCCGCGTAGCCAACAGCTATTAAGCTATTATCACTCGAAGATGATTTACTTTTACCTATTTGATTCTGTTTCGAAGCTGCTACTAGAGCAGCCCAATTTCTTTTAGCTTTCATTTTATTACTAGATATTTGTTTGGTGACGTTAATTGATTTTCTCCTCAATTGCTCTTCTATTATATCTTCGAATACACTTTCGACTAGGCCAATGTTGAAATCTTTTAGTAATCTTCTTTCCCTTAGTCTTTCTTTTCTACCGGCTGAAATTATAAGTCGAGTGTTATAGAGAATTTATATATTTTAAATAAATTATTTATTTAATTTTACCTTCTTTGTCGTTAGCAGAATGAGTACACTTCATCCCGTTATCCTTCAAGATATCAAAGAGCTCCGATCTGAAGGTGTGAATAATCTGCTTTACCTCACTGATATGATCTTCTGTTATGTTTGTTATTTCTGCTTTTCTCTGCTGTTTAGTCACGTAACGTCTACTCAAACATCTCATAATATTCTAAAAAAATTATTAAAGTTAATTAAAATAGTTCAATGCAATTAATTAGAAAATTTTAAATATTAAACAGATACTTTTTTTACATTCAGTGCTAATTAAAATTCTAAGATTTAATACTGTTTCAAAGTGATGTTTCGAACAAGGTTGATGTACGATAAAATTTTATATAATGCTTTAAATGAAGAGCATTCATTATAATAAAAATGAATTTTTAAAGTTTGGAACTTTTAACCAGAATGATTTGAATATAAATTTATAATAAGTAAACAAATGAAATTTAATTAAACTCACGCACTTCATATTGGAAATCTCTGTCTTCCGCTTCTTTAACCTATCAAATTCAAATGACAAAACTCAACCACAGAGACGTATAAAAGTAAAATTATATATCAAAATATTACCTTTATAGACATAGATTTGAGCTTTTTCTTCAAGCCAAAAAGTCTTTGAAAAAATTTAAATGATGGTATGATGTTAAAAGGAGGAGGAACCGTGCTACCATCTTCAAAATAACTCATCCACAATTTACTTCTGGCAAATTTCCATTCGATATCCGATCTTTCCTATAACATAATTTAATAAATTAAAAGTATATAGCGGGATCAATTAGAAGCTGTAGTAGACAATTTGTCTAATCGTTAATTGGATTATTATTATTATTATGATGATGATAAAATGATGTGAAGATAATCGAGAAATACTAACCGATATTATTTGATAGGAATTGCTCATCATAGCGATAAGAAGATTGAGCAAAACTACAACGTTGATGACACAGTAACTTCCAAACATTAAAAGTCCCCAAAATCTTGTATATTCCTGGATTCCCGTTAGATCGAAATTGTGAATGTCTACCAATCCAAAACTTGCCCAAAATAAGCTTTGAGATGTTTCAAATAAACTGAAAAAAAAAAAAAAAGAATTAGCGGTAGAAGTAAGTAGGCTAATGTATCAGAATATCGACAAATATGAAACGAGTGAGATATACTTTGCAAATCTCCTCCATATCTCGCAGGATCGACTGTCTTCATTGTGTCCAGTCGGGCCAAAATAGCACTTAGTTTTGTCAAGATCAGCGTAGTACCACAACAACTGATTCATACCGCAACCAAATGCAAATAATACTAAAGTATAAATGAAGAAGAATTTGATGATATCGTAAACCATTCTTCCTAAAGAGATTTGTAACGGTCCCAAGTATGGATTAACGGAAAATATGTGGACCATCTTCAAAAAACTTTCAAAAAGTTATTATTATTATTATTATTATTATTAAATAATAATATAAAATAAATATGAATTCAAATTTTGTATTTACCTGAAAATATTAGCTGCTCCAAACATTCCTTCAGATATCAACATAGGATCATAGGGATCCCATTTCTCACGAGGTTGATACGCATCTATTCCCATTTCTAATTCTTTCCGAACCTGAATTTTATAACTTAACATTTGAATCAACTTTTAAACCATTTTATTGTTAAAAAAAAATACTCAAAAAGTTTTCAATGATAAAATACCCACTCGATACCAAGCAACAGCACGGAGTGTTATCCACGTAAAATATAATGTATTGGTAATAAAATCCAAGATATTCCACATATTATTCACATATTCTTGTAATCCAGAATTCCATAGCTGTTTAATCTCCCACCAGATAAATCCTAAACTCGTGAAAATATCATTTTTATGGATTTCTAATTTAGTTTAAAGATATGAAATTGTTTCAAATAATTTACCCAGGACGTATATCATGATTCCTGTTTCCACGACTCCAGGAAGCTTTCCACGTTCTTGTTTGTGCTGTATTTTAACCCATTCTCTCATACTTTGCGTTCCAAATATTTCGATAACCAAAGTTTCGACTCTCTGAGAAGCCAAAATTAAAAGAACTGCAAAATAATAAATGCAACTTTAAAATTTTAAAGTACGCAAATGTAATATGTATACAATTCCGAATCGTTTAAAAATATAAATATCTGAAGAGAAAATACAATTAATTAAAGGCGCTATAATGGAGATTTTTATTTCTTTAATTAGCAATAATCCAGAACGTCGCCATCTTTAAATAGTAAAAGAATATGTTGATTCGAAGTAAGTTTTATTGCCTGACTTTTTATGTTTACCTTCAAATGTTATATTTTCAAACTATACGGGCGTATTAATCAATAGAAAATACAACTTCCACGTACAAAGAAAAAGAAAATAAGATGAAGAATGAAAAATGAATTTCAAGAAAGGATACTTCATAGTTTTGCCCATTTTACTCCAAGGAGCTACGATATAGGCCAAACAATAAATTGGAAACATTATGCCCAATTTGTATAAAACCAAGCATTGTCCAATCATGCTTTTCCTTCGAAACCCGGGCATACCTTTATACCACACAGTTGCTAAAAGCTGTTGCACGTTTGGATGAGCTACAAACTAAAAAAAAAAAAATTCAATAGAAAGAAATTATCATCAACAAAAAATATTCGTGAATTTAAATCACTGGACATACCGTTTTCTGTTTGTAGATAATTGCTAATTTAAGACGTTCTAATTTCATGGGCTGTCCAGGTTGATATAAAGAACCACACGGATCATAATTTAGAATTACTTCGAGTTCGTAAGAATTACGGGTATAATCTAAGAGAGAAGTGACGAATTCTTGAATTTTATCCCTCAATTCCTGTGAATAGAGATTGCTTTCTAGCATTTTATAGAAGTTTTATTGACGTTTACGTATCTATAAATAATGAAATGCTTACCGTATATTCACTTTTAAATTCTTTTTCCATAGAACATAACTTTTTCAACTCCCAACTTAACTCGAACCCGGTTATTATAGGATCTCTACTAGAAAGAGTTATTAAAGAAGGAGAAGTCAAAGCTCTGTAAGCATTGATCCTAGATTGAGAATGCCTTAGACAGTCTTCTTCGATAGAAACAACGCAATCATTACATCCACATCGTACGTCGTGAGGAAGAGGAAGAGATGCTCCACGATCCAATAAAAGTTTCAAAATTTCATAATTATCTTTATGGGCAGCTAGGATTAATGGGGTAATATCTGGAGTGAAAGTTGCTATTTCTCTATTTACCATTTCCCAACTCTGAAAAATTCAAAGTAGTAATTACTGTACTGTACATACATTATACATATAAACTTATAATTCGTAATGTTCGTTTATATAAATCAAAGAAGAATCATTTCGCTCGTCTTCTCCATATTGAAATAAACGACAAAAATTGTAAGAAATTAACATTAATTCACTACATAAAAAAAGAACTTACGTAAGGTTGATCATTCGTGTGTATTTTTTCTTCGTGTTGAAGTAATATCTCGACTGCTTCAACATATTCTTCATTAATGGCATGGAGAAGACTTTCTCCCGTTCGAATGTTATGCTTCAACAAGATCTCTATCAGATCTAAATTTTCATTTTCGATTGCTACAACCAAAGCGCTCCTTCCAACAGGATCCGTGCAGTTTATATCGAAACGTGGATTATTTTTATGAGTATTCAATAAACTATTAAAAAAATTCTTGAGTATTTAACAAATAATACTTCTCTATCTGAAATTAGGATAAAATTGAAAAGATGACAACAGGGAAAAGATATTCAGTATCTAAATGAATTTTAAATATCCTTCCATATTTAGATTGTATCACTTAACATTAGGATTTATATTGGAGAAAACTAACAGTGATATAATTTTATATATATATAGGCTATGTATTTCTATCTGTAAATATTTTTACTGAGCGAGAAAATAACATATGTAAATGTTTATTACATAAGTCAAAAATTATTTTGCTATTTATTAAAATAGGCATCTTTGCCCGGAGTCATCTTTCCTAAATTTAATCAATATTAATTCTAGAATATATTTAAAAACTTACTCTCTAACTGCGGCTATATCACCACGTTCCGAACAGAGCAAAAATTTTTTCTCATAGAATGTCAATTGTTTCTCATTCCGTTGAAGCAGATGAACCATCCCTCCTTTTTCTCTATCGGTTAGCAACTTTTCTTGCTTCATAATGTCTATCTTACTAACAAAAATCAAATTTAAAAACTTTTAACGATGATTAATGGTTGAAATTTATATAAAACTTACCAATTCACATGACTCTTCACAAATGAAAGAAAAATTTACTATTGAATATCCTTATTGAACGATTCATTTGTGGGGCATCTTTTAAACAGATTAAAGAAACCTATCAGCAGTTTCATGCAACTTATCTACTTTTTCTAATTTTTGCCGATAAAAATATATAGTGGAGACTTTTTCTAAATATTATAAAGAAGAATTTAAAGGAAATATTATTCACAAAAAAATGACAGTTAAGATCATCCACACCAATAACTTTAATGCGTGCTAATTGGGTCAAAGTTAATGATTGTCAACTGATAAATAACATAGATATGTATTTAATTCTTGTCTTACGAACAATGTTTTGATAAAGAAGATATCTAAAGGGCAAATAAGATTTGATAATTAATCATTTTCTGTTTAACATTGAACATTAAAACATGATTAATGAAACGTTTGAGTTACAAAACGAACCATATTCTATAAAATTATTTGTAAGTATAATCTTTATCAATGTTTATCTTATAAATAAAAAGTTATTTTTAGAAATATTTACGAGATTTGAAAATATTTTTTTAAAAATAGGTAAGTCCCGATGAAGATCAAATACAAATGAGTGAAACCGAATCGGAGAGACAGGCAGAAATAAGTAAAAATGTCGAAAATTTACGATTGGGATTACCCAGAAGACTTAGTTCTAGTTGCCCGACTTTAAGTATCATACAGAAAGCAAGAAGAAATTCATTCATTTCCGAAAATACTTCAAATTTATACGCAAGTGGAACCAACGTCACAGCTATAAGCATGTCTAAAATTGAAAAATCAGTTTTGTTAAGGTAAATAAAATTATTTTATATTATAAAAATATCTCCATTTGTTTATATATATATATATAAACAAACAGAGTACATAAATATATTTACTTATATATTGATATATTGTAAAATATTTTTGATGTTTATACCGTTTTTAGTATGTAATTCGCTTTCACCAAATAATATTGTGAAGTTTATAATTATCATTAAAATTTTATTTAATTATATATATATATATACATAAATGTATATATAATCAATCAATAAATCAATAATGTATATGGCAATTATCAAAGAAAAGGAATACAGTTTTCTTCCTGGCAGCATGAAAATAACATTGAATAAATATGAAGGGAATAAAGTAAAACTGAAATTACGGGCATTATCAAATATATATATTTTTTGTGTAAAAAGTTTAAACAACTTAAAACCAAATATTTGTTTGATATTGTTTTAGTTCAATATGAAAGATGACAGCAAATATTCTAATAGATAGAACACATTTATTATTAAGGCTATCGAGAGAGGAAGCTGGGGATATTTCCCAGACCCGGGAAAAACTTAAGACCCCGTAATGGTTTATACCTCTGTTAAATTAATGTTGTTTTTACTAACAAAATAAGTAAATAAATAAAATAAAAGCTTTAATACTTTCCACGTATTTCATTCGTTCAAAAAATGTCAAAAGGGGTCTACTCTTCTACCTTGGACCAAGCTTTTGAAAGCCCTATTTATAAATTTTTATAGTAATTTTTATATAATATTAAAAGAAAAGTCTAATTTTAAAAGCATAGAATTTAAAAAAGTAGACTTTTTATCTAGTAATAAATACGTCATTCAAAAGTATACCTTTTGTTTTTGTTAATGTAAAATATTCGTTCTTTGAAAAAATAATACAAATACAGTAATGTTATTTTTTTTATTTCGTAGTTGAAAGATAAATTTTATTAATAAACGATATTTATTATTACAAAAATACTAAAAAACTAAAAAGAACTTTGCATATTATTAATATTTACTTGGCTTAACAGTTTGTAATTTTTACGCATAAGATAGAAATTTTGTTCTTAGTTCTATTGTTTTATGTAGATTCTAGATATCGAAATATCAATAATTTTAAAGAAATTAAAATAAAATACAGTACTGATAAAAATCGTTATCACTATTATCTGCAGAATTACAACTGTATCAGCTTGTTACAATTATCATCATACAATATTTTTGTTTATACAATTGTAACCAGACGCTGTTAAAAACAATTTAATGTAACGATATCGTTTACAATTTAAACGTCTCTTCTCGATTATCCGTCAGTTCATTATCACAAGATTAAATTGGACTGATTGAGTAAGACAATGCAACACATGAGCGGTCTGCCGAGAAAAAGTGGTTCCCAGGAATACTTTCTATGGGGAAACTGGCCTTTATTTTGTATGTTAAACACGTGAAGAAAACACGAAAAACTCCACGTGGTCAACCTATTGGTGGGGCACGAACCGGCGACTAATTTCTAGTGTTAGGTAGTTTTATCCACTCGGCCACTGATGGTCGCAATATAGAATTGACAAATCGGTTCCTAACGTTATATTGATATAATAAAATCGAGATTTTCCCTTATCGAAATTTCTAGAATATTTTCAATCTTTGATAAAGTTTGCTATTCGTAGTCAAGCAGAGAATAACAATAGGGAAGGCGGTTTTGCTTTCCCGTATTCTTTATGTAACTTAAAATAAAATATCATTGACATCGAATTTTCTAGACATCTCATATTGATATTGCTATCAAAATTTGATATCATCAAATGAATGCGTAGTTTTTAACGCATTGCATCAGCATACAAGGACTGCGTGACCATTTTTAATTTTATTTAATAAACACTCAATTTTATTTATTATAAATGATATGACCCATAATAAACATGATGTATTTTGCCATTCAATCGATAAGCATGAATGTAGCTTATCAATTCAGTTCATATACAATATAATAAAAGTGCAAGAGACAATTCACCAGTAAAAAAAGAAATAATTAATTAAATCAAAAATAAAAACCTTTGTGAAGTGGCGGCGACCGGCGCAGCAGCCCTCTTAGTCCAATGGTTAAGGTGGCACTGTATGTAGTCATCTATATCAAATACAATGTAAAATGTTTAAAACAATTTAACGCTTATTTCTATTAATTACAAATGGTTGCACAAGTGACTAGGCAATCATCTGGGACTACTTGAGATGGAGCACAAATTAATGAGAAATTTAGTTTTTTTATGGCAACTGTTGACAAGCAGCCTCGTATAAAACAAGTCCGTAAGTCCATATAATTAACTTCAATCTCAAAATTTATATCGATCATTGACAACAAACAGAGTATCAATGAAAAATTGTTTGGGGTTGAGAGCATATATTTTAAATTAAATAAATTAAAAATATGATTAAAATTAAAATTACAATCCATGAGTTTACTGCTCGATTATTTATTAATAAGTTTAAATTATCGAATTAATTTCCAGATTATATTTAATTGATTAAATTCTCGTTCTTATGTAAAGGTTAATAATTAAAAATTAGTTTTAAATTTAATTTAAAAATTTAGAAAATCCTGGAAGATTTATTAACTCATTAAATCAATATTAAATATTTCAGAGAAAATTTGTGTTTCATATTAAGTTGCATCTATGCAGTGTTTTTAGTTATGCTTGGAGCGGTCATTTATGTTATTGATCAAGAAGAAGACGAGCAAGTAATTAGTCAAGTGAGATTTAAAAATTCTGTTTAAAAAATTACAAAATTTTCTGCTTCTTTTAATGTATTAATTAAACGAATCTCTAGTATTTCAGTTGTTTCATTTCATTGGTTGGATTGTCCTGGCTGATATTTCTTCACGTGGATTTGACACGATATAAATATAGTATCGAGAAGAGATTTCACGAAGAATCGAATCAAGAATTTGATAGAATCAGTACCATAACCGAAGTGGTTGTGAATAGAACATTAGTTTCTGAAACGGATTTAGAAAATGCACCTTATCGGTTTTTAACCGGAAGACATAGCGGAAGTTTCTACTTGAAGATAGGAACAGCTGGTAATTATAATATTTGATACCCATCATCTATGGGTATCAATCAATCAATCAGGCCTGTAGCTTCCCACTGTCGTCCGTATGTCCGCCTGTTCTTCTTTAATCTCGAAAACAAAGTTAGATCGATGAAAATCGAGACCAAATACAAACATGGAAAGCTTAGGGACAGGAGGCTGCGATTAACAATATACGAACTTCCGGTCTGGACAGAAAGTCACGTAATTTTTTAATATTGAAATATGATTAAAAATTGCAGCCTGGCATTGTGACGATGTCACTATAAGTAATTGCTCGTTAACATGTGATTTTGAATTAAGTGTTAGATAAAAATGTGGGCCTAGTCAAACCCATAATGGGCTTGGTAAAAAAAAGCACGCTTTGTGCCACAGACGAAGAGTTAAAATAACTAAATATAAAAATAATATAACATTATGAAGTTTTTCATTTTGCTCTTTTCACTTTGTGGGCACTAGGAAGACCTTTTTTCCTTACCGAACCGATTATGGGTTTGGCAATGCCAACAATAGAACGATCTTGTGGTGAGAAAAGTTCGACACACAGGGACAGACCGCCCACGAAAAATTTATGGGGAGTTTCTTGTCCGGATTCAATTCTAGGTGTCCCATAATGGTAAGCTGAAGCCTTAACAACTTCGGCCATCAGCCCGGCACAATATGTTTATAAATTCTTTAAAAACGTGCTTTTTACTTAATCTTCTAGTGATCAGATGAACTCATTAAGGATATTTCTTTTCAAAAATGTTCATTGAAACTTATAATTTATATAATTTTATTTCAGCTTTTTGTTTTGGACATTTAATTCACGAAGGATTGCTGTTTGGTCAACACGTATTCAATTTTATCCACCACGAAAAGAAGCAATATCACTGTTCTAATCCGTCGAACATACTTTTACATATTATAAGACCCACATTTTCATTTTATCAGCTTTTCATTACTTTCAAATATTCTAATGTAAGTTTGTTCCTTTATAAGTCAATTAATATTTAATACTAATTATTTAATAAGTAATTTAATGAATTATTTGTGATTGATAGATTATCATCAATCGTTTTAAAGCACTTGCAAGATTTGGACAAATGCATTTGATTGCAACCTGTATATGTTTTTGGTTGAACACAATTATTCAAGAAGCATTATCTGATTACGAGCATAGGGTGTATAATAATATTACTACATTCGAATATTTCAGTAAGTTATACAAAATACAATTTTTAATGTAGGCTAATTTGTTTTGATGATATATTTGAAAACGTCTAAACTTTTGCAATTTTCGTCTAGATATTGGAGCATTTACTTTAATAATACATCAGAACAATACTTTAACAAAATCACATTACTGTCGATCGGATTCAGTTCTTTCGACCAGATCTCTTAAAGCAGTGCCTTATCTGTACCCATTCACTATAGAATATAATCTTATTTTGGCCGGAGTATGGTTTATTGTATGGCAACATATTGGAAATATTCATTATTCTGCACATCCTTGTCATTTCAGACCAAAGGTAACTAACAATCAAGAAGGCTCAGAAGTTGAGTATCAAAGTAACTTGACGGTAAATGCTGACTGCCACGCTTCCAACAAAGGTTTATTCGCTGGTTTATGTTTATTATTGATCACGATCCTCACTGTGATTATTTTCTTCGTAGCAATTACTAGTGTAGAATATCACGATTTGGGTGTCCTGCTTCATACTATTCAAGAATCCGTCTTGACGTGTTTTTGTTTCATAGCTGTAGTGATAGCTTTTATACAGATTTCTCAGCTAGATATCAATCGAGATCCTATAACATTTCTTGACGATGTTCTTTTATTTGTTCCTTTGCCGTTCTTTTTTGTACACGGTTTTCTCTCTTTAATGGCTGCTTGGGAGATGAAGGACCATCACAGAGTTGCTCTCTACGTAGTTCTTATACTTCAAGTTATCGTGCAAACTACTTTTATCATTGATGGATTGAGAAGATGTAGCAATTCAAACGTTTTACGTTTTAAAAAACCCGGCAGAGAATTGATTATCTTTTTGATTATATGTAATCTAACTATCTGGGTTGTAAACACATTTGAATTGAAAAGTGTCGAACATTACTACTCTCAAAGAAAATATTATGGGCATATAATTTGGATGTTTATATGCCATACTACTCTTCCATTAATGCTGTTTTACCGTTTTCATTCATCCGTATGTTTAGCTGACATTTGGAAGTCTGCTTACGAACGAGGAAAATGAAAACAACTTAAATCAGATGGGATTTTTAGAAGTTTTCGTGTTTAATTTTAAAATATTTAAAATGAATGTAAATGAATGTAATTGCAAGTCAATGTAATGCACAAAATAAAATATATTTAAATACTTTTTTGTTGCGAATTATTTCTTTAGATAGGAACAACAATCCACACCAACACTTGGTGTGCATATACTTTTCCTTTCAGATGAATCGATCTATAAGATCAGATCAATCTTTGTCACGTGATATACAGTACAGTGGGTGATCGGACAACGAACACTTTACTGAACAAACATAAAAAGAAGCGACGGAAAATAACGAATACCAATTGATTTTCCCTTGTGTTCAGGTAACAAATCGAAACCTTTCGGAGTGCGGGAGACGTCAACATCGACACTCAACCCTATACCGATCGGATAGTATAATATTCCTCCGAATTTTGAAACTCTCCCTTGTAATTCCAGCTTTTTGTTTACCTTTCTGACAAATAATTTTTTATAGTCTTCTCGAGACTGTCGGACGGGCACTTGTTAAGTTTTGCGTCGGGGTTTATTTACGAAAGGTGAAAGTTTAACTCTCCCATTGGATATTCGTTAACGTTTTAATACCAAATTTCGAATTTCATCCGGGCCTTGCACTTAAATAATTTTTTGTGGGCTAGTTGATTTCTGTTCTCTGAATTTTTATAAGTGCGTTTCTGAACTTTTTATTTAAAAAAGAAGCTGATAATATTATGATGCCTAAAAAGAGGAGTGTCACACCGTAGAAACCAAGTAAGAGATAATAGCCAAGGTAGAAAGTGGGCACAAGATGTCTGATGTTGCTAGACGGTATGGCTTGTACAGGTCTACAGTAGGCACAATCTTAGCTATGAAAGATATATCAAGAAGTCTCAAGCTGTTAATGGAGTAATGAAAATCACATCTGAGAAATAAAGAGCATTTTAGATCTCATAATGTAACCTGAAACTGATCTGACGACAGAATTCCAAGAACTCTCAAATGAAGAGTACCAAGAAACTCAGCGAGATGTGTTTTCTTTTGAAAAAGAGGAAGACGAAAGAGGACCAATGTCGACATCTGCTACTAAAGATCTTTTGAAGAAGTGGGATGATGTCAGAACAACGATCATCCAAGTGGCATCCAAACCAGAATAGGGTTAATGGGGTTGGGGATCTCTACAATTACAATACTATTAATTACTTCCGAAAAATCCTGAAGAAAAGAGAAAAGCAATCGATATTGGACAGATTCTTTAACCCCCACAAACGGAAAAAAAAAAAAAAATGTAAGACTGCATATATATGTATTTTTACTATTACATATAAATAAACGTAGTAAAAAAGTATATATTTTTTATTTTTTGGAGTCTCCGGAACGAATTAATCAAATTCCCATAAAAACCTATGGTAAATCGATAATCTGTTAACGAACAGTCTTGGAACGGATTACGTTCGTTAACCGATCATCCACTGTAGTTCGTTTCTGTCATGTGTTTTAGTTGGCGGAAAGTATACAAGTACGATCGAATCGTATTTACTCTGAATGACATTGCTCACAAAACAGCAAAATGGGAGAACGAACGCCATGCATTCTTATCGTACATTCTCGCAAAACTGTATCTTAATACTTATTTTTTCACCTCAGTTTATCGGATATGATGATTTTACTTACTATTTATAAGTTTTAAATACTTTTCATTTCGACAGTTAAACACATTTCTTTGCTCTTCAACCGCAAACTCGACTTTAACTATGAAGGCCGCCATATTTAATAATAAACGAACTATACCGATATGATCAATCTCTATTCAATAAATAGAGATTGATCAGATCGGTATAGTTCGTTTGTATACACGATTTGAACGACCTGAGCAATCTTGGATCAGTTTGATAACAAAAGTACAGTGGTACCTCAGGATACGAAATTAATCCGTTCCGAAACTGAGATCGTATCATGAAAATGTCGTAAGGTGGATCATCTTTTCCCATACGATTACATGTAAAACCAAATAATTCGTTTCAACGCGAAAAACATACTCAAATTAAAGCCAAGTAATACATTAAAAAAAATAACTGTAGTAAGAAAAACAAATGAAAAATGCGAACTAATGTAACGTCGTATGGTGAGTTTTTGTTCGTATAGTGGAGCAAAAATATGTTCGAATTTCATGTCGTATCCTGAAAATTTCGTATGCTGGGGCGTTCGTAACCTGAGGTACCACTGTATATGCACCTTAGGATCGTTTGGATGGAATAAAAAAGATTAAATTTAGAATCAAGTGGGATGTGAAAATGTCAGGTATAGAGTTGCTATAACAGCAAAAGTTGTACATTTTTACGTCACTTGCAGACTACAAAAATGCAGTCTGCAAGTGACGTAAAAATGTACAACAGCAAGATGGAGAAACAAGATATTTAGCAAGGTGAAAAAATCGCCAAGAAAATTGTTCCGCTTACATTAAAGTCAGGGCCGGATCATCGCATAGAGCCATAGACAAATGTCTAGAACCCGGTTTTTAGAAGGGCCCGATCAAACTGTCTATTTTGAAAAGATTTGTAAATAAGATAGTTTACTTTTCTGTTGGACAACAGTATATAATAAACAAATAAACAAAAATATATTACTTTTTATACGGTTATTGTGAATTCTAAAATCTAAAGAAAATGTACGTGGGTTGTTCAAAAAGTTCCCGAACTTTTTGAATAACGCGCCTCCAGTTTGTTATTTTTTAATCCTCTTGGAGGCGTCCCCGAGTAACCTCCTTCAACCCGTTTGTTGATATCTTGTTTTGGTGATTAGCTACGGCAGAGTCGGTAGATTAACTGGTCTTTCCACTAATAGTTCAAACTTAGCTAGAGACAATATTTGCCACTAGTTGGCGCCACTGTTAGCAGGAGAGCGTAGTTTTTGCTAGCTGTTACAGCTGTAAGCTCATTCCTTTGGTTATAATAAATCAGTTAACTATTTGTAACTATAGAGTTTTGTCTCTGTGCCAAACCCATCCACTCACGCTTTGAAGCGACTCGGACGTTCTGACGTCACGCGCGGTTCGGCGACCTCACAGGGGTCTAACTATAAACGCATAGTGAGTTCTTGACCTTTTTTTTTTTAAGGTGTTAGAATTTTTCATCGAGCTATTCGGACTTGAGTAGCTAATATTGAAAGATTGATCGCGGGCCACATAAATTCATTACACGGGCCGGATCCACCCACAGTCAAATCATTGCAAGCGACAGAAAGAAGTGGAATTCGGTAAAACGACACAAAAGCGACGTAAATTCGACGCTTCGTATTTGCAATTTGGATTTACGTGTACTCTCTTGCACAATGTCTTATCTGCTGTGAAATTTTATCGTCATTCCATGAAACCGGCAACTTTGTCGCTACTGCTCCACACTAAACACTTGAATCTTGTGAATAAGTCGACTAAATTTTTCGAAAGTGCAAAAAAAGTGAGGAAAAGTTGTTTGCATCATTTAACATCATAAGAGTTAAATAAAGCGGCGCTAAAGGCATCCATCCTCTCACAACTCACCTACCATTTGGCTAAATCAGCAAAGCCACAAAAAATAGACCTCATACCTGCCTCGAATAATTCTATTGCGGTCGTATTCATGACATGGCAGATAGTGTTGGGTGCTAGTGGTTCGTGATAGGAAGTTTGTTCAGAAAAGAAAAATATATACTCTGATCAATTAGTCTGGCTCATTCAGAAAAATAGAATACTTATTTAGAGCGGGGATGATAAAGGAATGATTCAAAAATATTCAAATTCAATTGGGTCAAAATAATTTAACTACTAAACACAAATACTACAAAGAAAACTATTCATACATATTTAATAAATTAAATTATTGCATTTGGTATTTAAAATAAATGAATTATAACAAAATACAAAACAGTTTAAAAAAGTTAATAAATATAAAATAAATTTTCTTTCATTTAAATAAAAAAACTAAATTAAATTTAAAATGCGGAGTCGGAGTCGACATATTTTTCCCGACTGTTCTGGTCAGAAATTCCTTCTGACTATGACTCCGACTCCACAGCCCTGATCCAAAGCAGTGGCGTACTGAGAATAGACTAGGAAGACTAGATTAGTACCATAAATGCCTTGAAGTACCATCTAAATATTATTTTTAATGCATTTGTATTTGAAACCTTTCACTTAATTAATAAATATGTATTTTTTCGTGTATTTTTACCATCCGGCCTCCCCTCCTTTACTCTGAGTTGAACTCTTCATCACTAAGGGCTCCTTTAGTTGACTCATCAACAGGACTAGCTTGTAGACATGTTTCCTGTCATAATGTTGTGTTTTGTGCACGTCCAGGCGTTCTGTAATAATAGATTTTTAATTTCCAGTGCTTATTTAAAATAATATTGCTTTAGTGATTTTTGTATTTTTTATTATTATAAAACACTTAAAAGTTTTCATTTAAAGTGTAAATCTATTTAAAAGATGGTATATGTGATTAGAAAGTTTTGAGTTCAACATGGAAGGGAATTTGTTAGGAGAAACAGGTCTCGTGAATCTCTGAATGATGCAGCTGATCTAAGTGAATGGTCACAGCAGAGTGAAGAAATACATAGTAAACGATTTCCGTGCTGTATTCTGGATCGCCTGCTTGAAACGTCGTTTGGACCCTTAAGTTTCTAAGAAAAAAAAAATCCAGCAACGACTTGCTTAACTTTCCCGGCGACATTTAAAACTGCCTGTGACGTCATCTGTTTATGATACTTTATTTTACAATTTTTTTTATATTTTTAATTATTATAAAATAGCAAAAACCTTAATTTTCAGCATAGGGATGGGTTTTATAAAAAATTGTAAATGCTAATAACGAGTAAAACCGTTATTAAGTTTTACGTACTCGAGATACGACACATGACCTCCCTCTATCTCCCCACCCTTTAACCACCAAAATTTAATAGCATCGATCTACCTAATACACAAACCTCCCTCCCTGCAAGATTTCAGAATTTTTGACAAAAAGCACAGGAGTTATTAAGCTTCAAATTGGATGAACAAAATTGTGCCCCCCACACTAACATACTCGTACATACATACAGAAAAAACCCCCCGA